AATTAAATAATGTATTCTCAACAAATACTTGACATAGCCTGAATTATAATATACAAGTACATTAAACATTTTACATGATAAACTAAGAAATTTTAAAACAACGTACTATGTAGTAAAGTAAAATTCAGATGTAATGCTGTATTTTAAATCCGTTTTGGCAAACAGCAAAGCTTTTATTTAATCTTTAATATCAAAAGGCATAATTTTCACGAACCATTATAGTGTCAACGCCAGCATCAGCTTTTCGTAGACGTTATTTTACTGTGATTGCAATTTAGATGTGTAATATGTAATATCGTTCTACAGGAACTTCATTCGTTATAAAATTTAAACTTCTTTTAGAACATTATGTTATGTTATATATGTTAGGTTAAAGATGAGAATCCAGAACTGTAGAAAAACTGTGCCGGAATCGATAATATTCTTCTTCTTCTTTTAGTCCTATGCCCCCTATATGGGGCAGAGGGCGTCTGCAGTACGCCACAATCCCGTTCAGTCTTGAGCTTCGCCTTTTATGTCCCTCCAAGTCTTCCCGATGTTTTTTGCCTCTGAAATGATTTATTGTCTTCGTAGTTTGATCGTTCCGGTTTTGTACTATATTAGTTTCGCTAATCTTATGGGTTTAAGTAAGCGAGTGATAAGCCTACTATACCCTAGCTCACTGGTGGGGCTGCTACCATAGAGCCCGGCTTATGCCTTTTATAGAAAAAAAATACATTACATGTTAAATATTCAAGTAGATAAAATTTCGGCAAAATTTTAAATGGCATGAAATTAATATCTTTCGATAACTACACCTATTTTATTACTTTTAAAACTACATACTCAGAATCTTGTCTGTCGGTTGGATGTAGTTTTTTTTTAAATAATAAAATAATGCATAGTTATCTGAAAATGTTATTTTCATTAAAACAATACTTGCCACAGTCTTAGATCTCATTTAAAAGCTATAAAATGTAGCTTTATTTAAAAACAATATATTTTTTTATTTATTGTATAAAAAAGCTGTTATTAATAGGAATATAAGCTACATATATAGTAAATAATGGAAGAATGGGTTAGCCGGGTTAAGCTTCAAATGCTAAAAGCTGTACCATGCTGTTACATCTATAGAACCGTTATCAACAAAACGAGACATCGAAAACCTTTCATTTGAAGTCTCTTCACTATTTATTTTGTTCCCCAATATTTCTATTCAAACCTCCCAAAATATTACACATCACTTCTTATTGTATTGCGAAAATAAAAGGACTAGTATGAACACAATAAAATATTCCAATATGAAGCTAATTTCTTCGATATGAACTAATTTTGGTATTTAAAAAAAATATTAGAAAAAAAATTACAATAGAAATAAAAAAGAGAGATAAATTATATGAAATAAATAATTTCGTTCTATTAATTATTATTTATTTATTTTTTTATATATATACCTATTTATATGTCATAAAAGATATGGGATAAGGGGATAAGGCTAGGCAGAGAGAGATAAAAGATATAATGAAAAAGAAATTTCGGTACATCCGAAGATAATATAAAAAATCCTTACTAAATTTCATTAAAAATATGGTACGTAATTAATATATATAAAACTCACTAAGGTACAAACGTAAATAACCAAATTTATAAAAGCTACTAACCTGCTCAATTAACTTTGGGAAAATAGTAACGAAATTAAACTGTTTGTATTTCATTAATTGCTTCAGAAGAAGTAACTTCTTATTAGTACTAAAATAAATAAGATCATTAATCGCAGGGCTTGTGCTATTTAAGAAACACGTCGCTCGATACCGAAATACGACCGAGGAAAATGATGCCTTATGATTTCTGATACAAGTTTTGTTACTTCTTTACAAAGTAACACGCTTAGGGAATTTCTAAGTTTGTATTTTCGTTATTAAATTACGAAATATGTATTGGTAATATTATTTCACAACCACTGCTTTGATATTAAGTTATACAGATTTATTTATTATGAAAGTTATTTTATATGTAACAAATTAAATATTAAAATCTAATAAATAGTATATTTTTGAAAGTTTCACAGTTATATTTAAATTCAAAGTAACATATTTTGCACGACAGTTAATTATTATCCAGATAGAAAGATAGTTAAAAGTGTATTATTACAAAAAACATTTAAAATACACAGCTCATTAAAATTGTCAACATTCTCGAGAGCTTATTAGTTTTCTTTTACTTGAGAAATATTTCTGTGACTTGTGATACGGTTTCGATAATTCCAAGTTTCACGTAATAATTTTAATGACATGTTCTACTTCAGAATAATGTTAGTTTTAATGATGGTTTGAAACTTGCATTACACTGTTCTCATAAAATTATACTAACGAGATAAAATGAACACTTGTAGCGATACACTATTTCAACGACAATATTTTTTTCAATAAAGATATTAAAAAACTCACATAAAAAATTAAATATTTTATAAGTATTATAATACATACAGTACTTATAATTTACATGTCTATTTGTTTGTGTGAATGTAGAAAGATATGGACGAAATATATGGACTTATGAAATACCGCATTACATAAGTTTTTAAATAATCGACAACAATGGGTCGAAAACGTTGGTTTAATTGTTACCATACCGATAATCTTATTATAAAAAAGACAAATGTTATATGATTAAAATATTTGAAGTTGTCTGTAGCTGCATATGTGTACTACTTTATATATATGAACATTTATGTTTTACACAATTGTTCAAATACTTACCAAAACTGTTTACAATAACATCTTTTATACTTAAATATATTCTTGAAATAATACAGGTTCTTTTGAAATTTGTAAGGAAATTCTTATAAATTTTTAAAATATATTTGGAGATTATTATTAAAATAAAAGCCTTCATTTTTTTATAACAGGTACGGTTTTCAATTACACTAATAAATTAAACTTCATTGTTACATAAAATAAATAGGACTCTTGAGAGCTCCAAAATTTAGATATTTCTACTTTAGTCTTGAAGTAATTACAGAAATGTGACAACCGTTTTTAGTTCGTTTACAAAAGATAATAGAGTTCGTTTTTCGACATTTCCAAATACTGTTCTCGGATTTTAATTATAATTATACAAAAATGATATTACTTTAATATTCGGTTTTATATTTTTTCTTATAGGAGGCTGTTTTATTAATAGATTATTATAAATGGGTTTTACAGAAATTCTAGAGGCTGATGTTGAAAGAAATCATTAAAAAAGGTTAACACATTTGCAGCTTTTGTACACTAGAATTGTTTACATGAGTGTAACGTGTTACATTAAAATTAAGGGCTTGGGAGGACTTTCATTTATTTAAAACGTAATTTCGCCTAATAGCACGTCATGTTCTCGGAATAGAAATTCCATACATTGTGAAGGGAAATTCCTGTACTTCGCACATTCCCTTTACTTTTCATTACCTTTGCTCTTAAGCTCTCTTACTGTGATTGATTATTTGACTCTGTTTCAAAGAGGCCATGAAAAGGAAAATTATGGTTATAAAATGAAACCTGTTAAAATTTGTTATGTACACTTCAAGGTGAGTAAATATGTTTTAATAAAATAAATCACCTGACTGCCTACATACCTATGTACACTTAATTCTAGGATATAAATGATAGCTCGTAAAATGTTTATAAGATTTATATCTTGATATACTTAATATTCAATATACTATGATTCAAATAATTCCAGCCAAGTAACCAATTAAATGATAAGTTAAACTTAATTAAAAGATAAACAAACTGTCGCAGTAACATAATCATCTTATCCTCTAAGCCAAATTAAAGCAATTAAGGTTTTGCTACAAATCCTAATAATTTACCATTCAAATATTTTACATAACTCTTAAATCCAAGGGAACGAAAACATGATCTCATTTAATGAGAGGCAATTAGAAATGTAATCAGTAATTGTACACAGATAACCATCTCAAACCGTGACGCGGTTTGAGGAAGGTGTATTTGCATAAATGAACAGTTAATTCTAGACGGAATAGGTAGAATTAAAATAAAGGTACACAAAGTATTTTGTTTGTGATCTTATTTAGGTTCAAATGTGTTTTTTGTTATTATCCAATTTGTAGAGAACCGAATACGTTAGAAAAACTGCTAGCAGTATTCTAAATAACAAAAAATTAAACAATCTTTGAAATAATTAAAAAACCATAGGTAGATTATTAAGTTTATGATTGGTTTTTGTTTAAAAATATTTTTTTACGAAAAAACTTATGGTTCCTGTTATAAACAGTTGTGAATTAATTTGACTGATTTCTACTATACTTGCAATGCTAAGTGCTCCAAGGGTATCTGCAATGGAAAAAACTAACTAACACACACAGTTTCAAACACTACAGTGTTTGAAATTTTATGATATAAGTATAAGTATAAGCATCCCAGTATATATATATATACATAAATTAACGGTGCTGACGAGACTTAAATTTCTTTCCTTGACGTTGAAAATTAATTGTAATAAGTTGATAGTCAAAATTTTATTTCTATCATCACTCGAGATCGTCATTTCAGTTACATTTCTAGAAACTAAGTTCCTCTTCTTGAAAAAGCAGACGAAGATATTGATTAACTTTAAATTTCTAGATACATCTAAGGCAATACCTCTATAGTTTTATCACTAAAAATATATATCTCTCTTCTGTAATGAAAGAAACTTAATTCAAATCCTAATTTGATGCAATTATTGGTGTATAAAAATCCCTCAGTTATTCTTTATTTTAATATTGTACTGTAATCTTATACAAAACACGCGCTCCTTATTCAACTATACAATCTAGCAAGATACATAGCTTATTTCAGCATTAACCAGTATCATAAATATTAATATAAATACATATATGTTTTTTTAAAGACTGAGAATTCATGCTTTAATGATTTATGTCATGTCAATTCTTTCACATCTCCTAGTTATTTGCTACATAAAAAATATTTGTTTCAGATTATGAAGAGCCGATCCGGGCGCAGCCTTATTCAGGCGCTATGTGGAGTGTGGGAGTGTTTTTATTTACTCAGATAGCTGTCTGTCAATTTACAACAGGTACTGAGACAATATTAAGATATAAAAACATTGAAAGTAAGAACATTGTATTCTAACCATGTAAAAAGTATTGGATGAAAATTAATTGAACATTTTTAAGTTATAGATACTATTCATATTTTATTTATTTTTAACCGAATATCGTTAATACTGTCAGGATAAATAATATAACAGTTAAGAATATATTTTGTTAAAGTCTAAATCCTTTTCTTCTGTAAGGGTAAGGAATTTTGTTTCTAATTTCTTATCCTCACACAAAACAATAAATATCAAGAGGAAAATTAATTAGATAATTTACATAAAATAGAACTAGCTCGACCACAGACTTTAATTACCTTAATTCAATCTCAGTGTTATTCAGACATCTTATTAACATTAAAAAATAATAAATTTGTTTTAAGCTAAACAACTTTTCTTAGAAAATTATATATCACTTCGTATTTGTTTGAATACATTACTTGATATTATGGTAATTCTTAAAGAATTTAACTAAGTGTTTGAGTGAAGTAAATTGACTAACTTTATCCATATATATTTACATAGATTTTTTTTCAGAAATATCAACATCAACAACAGAAGAAGATCAAACTGTCACTCCATACTACGCTCTCAGTACTGGTGTTGTACCAGCGCCTGTGATGCTTCGCCTTGGAAACTCAACGATCGATAGCACGAAATCATTCAAAGTACCCCCACCTTCACAAGAAACGGATACAGGGACCACAACACCACCACCAAATGGAAACGCAGAAATGGTACCACATGTAGTATCGGTCAAAAATACTTACTTCGATCATGACATAAGATATGGTCCAACATTCGAGGATTCGAATGCAAATATGACGAAGATAACGATACAGCTGGGCGAAGACGCTCATCTGAATTGCAGGATTAGCCTCCTCCAAGATAAAACGGTGAGTGGAAAAGCATTTACAGTACTTGGAGATTCATAAAAGAGCGTTTAAGTCGTTAGAAATTTCTAAATTACTAGGTATCTTGGCAAGTATCTGGACTAAATTGCGAAATGGAGGAACTTTCTGAAGAGATGCAATTTTAAACTTCTATATATAACTAGGGAAGTAACCTTTGGAATAATTTAAAATTGTACGCGGTCCTACCTTCTTTTAGAGTATGAATATAAAGTAGGTACAAAGACTTTGTTCTCGAACGAAACGGCTTTTTCATAAAGTTGAGCAAGCGTGAAAGTCCTAATTTTTAAAACATAGAGCGTCTTTTACGCAAAGGTAATTTCTAAATTACATTATCAGAACTTTATCGTGTTGTCTAGCATTTGTATGTAGAGAACTACATAAAGTTCTTCAGTAATACTTGCACGAGAACACAAAAACACAACTTAAACTTGACCGGTTTCTTTTGTTTTTATAACAACACTGCATCTCAACATATCTATTTATAAAACTGAATTTACAATTATTATATTTTTGTATATACTATTTATAAAACTGAATTTAAAATTATTATATTTTGTTTGAAACAGAAATAAAACTCAAATACGTTTTAAAATCATTTTAAAAATTCAAACATTATGTGTAATAATTAATTAACAGCGGAGCAGGCTTACAGACAGCTGTACCCTGATTTATAGCTTATTAAGTTCGCAAACGCCATCCAGATTATTTCTGTCTTCTTTTGGGCATTATTAATGATCTTAATATTACGTCTACATCTTTAAAATTAATTTTGGGGCGAGATTTATGATTTTCATAAAAAAATTACTTAATCGAGATTGAAATTTTCCTTCCGATAGATTTAAAAATAAAGTTTGAATATGTAAATATTAGTCACCTTTACAGTTTTAGTATTCAAACCTTTATTCTATATATTCAAACGCCACTGGACACAATTTCATCAACATTTTGTTCGCGTTTATATTTCTGCATTGCCGTTTGAATTGCCTTTCTAAAGGACTAACCGAAAGCTATTTCGCTTGACGGTCAATTTGCGTCTTGCGCTTTACCATCCCCTGATACGTTTAAGATACCTTTTCCTTGATATCGTTGAGGTTTTATATTTTATTCTTTCATACGAATTTTTAAATTTCTTATAATAACGATGCCTAAACATTTATTTATTTCCTTTCATATTTAACTGTGGCAACTTAATTAATATATTCGTGGAAATATGACGGTTATTTAAATTATGAATTTATAAGGTTAACAAAAATTGCTAAAGTATTACAGTAGAAAGAAAATGTATCAATTTATTCTAATAACCATGTTGTTGTAGTGTTATGTAAATGTAACATAGCATGAAGAAGCATAAAAATGACTTCAAATGTGACAACTCATCTGTCATTTAAAACAGCTGCACAATTTCTAGCAATCGGAAACTTGTATTTTTAAATACTGCCTGTTCTACTTTCTTGTCTCTTTCTAATTCTCTGTTTCTGTGTCAGAATATGGGACATGAAAGGGTTGAGTAATATTTCGATGATCGACATTAAACATTTTCAACCCTTGATAATATCTAAAGAGCTCTTTGTTCCACAACCATTGTTATAATTACCTAAATTGTTGGGATCGTTGAATAAAATTGGAAACAAAACTCTTGATACCAATTATGAAAGATTTCCTAAATTTATTTCTTCTGTTCCTGTTTAGATAAGAAAATATGGTATTTAAGGAAATATTTGCTTTGTTATGAGTATAATTTCCATATTAATAATTTATTACGGTAGCGTTAAAAGAAATATAACAGGGCAGGGGTATAACAAATAAAGATAATAATTAATTAATATTTAATCAGGCTTTTGAATACTTAGGATCGAGTAAGTTGGTAAATTATTTCCTGATATCTACTATCTTTTCAGTTAATTATATAAAATAAAAAAAGTATTTTGTATAATAATTACTTGAAATAAAATTTAAAACATTTTCTTCATTATTTAAGTAACGTAATACGATGTTTAAAGGAGCTCTGATATTGAAAGCAGGCAATTACGTTTGAACAAAGGAACTGAGTCATCGTCATTATACTCTGATGTCCCTCTCTAATGTAAAATATATAAAGAAATTCAGCCAAATTTTCTCTTTTTAGTCATTATTCATATAGAAACTTAACAGTAATGTGAGATGTCAAGAAACATACCGTAACATTTTTTATAATAATAATAAATATTTTTCGGTAAAAGTATTCACGAATATTTTATTAATTTTATAATTTTTTGAACATAGTTATAATATGTTCAAAATTTAAGATAATATAAGAGTAATCTTTTAGATTTGAAGTGAAATATGTTGAATAACTTCAAATGAACGGCTTCATATCGTAACGCGTAACGGTGCCACTGAGTTTGGTTTCCCCTTTACCTCACGTAAACGGCATCAGCATTTTACACACGTGGCAAAAGTGTTTCAAGTAATATTCAATTTATTCGTTAACAGATTTCCAATTTAATATAAAACTTCAGTAAAAACGCAAACTTTTTTTAAGTTACACAATTTCTATATTACATATTTTTATATCTTAATTCGGAGTTGTTAATTTACTGAACTGTAATTTATTTACTTGTAAACATGTTCATCATTTATTCATTTATTCTGTTTAGGTTTCCTGGGTACGACGCAGAGGCAGAGATGAGATACCCGAACTTCTAACAGTTGGTGCGGTGACATATGCAGCAGATATGAGGGTATCAGTTGGTAAACGTTATCCAGGGAACTGGAGGTTGCTGATAAGGGAAGTGAAACCCGATGACGAAGGGGTCTACGAATGTCAGATATCAACACATCCACCTCGAGTTAGCAGAACCTACTTGCATGTTAATAGTAAGTGCATTCAAAATGTGTACCGTCAAGACTAAAAAATCAAAAAGGTTTTTTGAAAACCAGTTTATTTGTAAAGAGACATTTTTTGATAAAATTTAGACAGTTTCAATATGTATTAATACTTTAGAAGTGCACGAATAAAAAAGTACTATCCTAATAGTCTACTACGAATTGTTAAGGCCAGTAAATAATTTAATGATATACAAGAGAAGTTAAAAATTTAGTTACTTGGTATAGAGAAAATTAGATAGAAATCTAATCATGAAATTTTGTTCCACGACTCAAAACCTTTAAACATATTTTATTATGTCTCTTATTACTTAGCACGAATTATTTATACATATTAATTGATTTTCTTATTTAGCTCCCCAAGTTTGGGTGGTAGACGAAGCCGGAGGTCCGTTGCAAGAGAAGTATTATGAAGCGGAGTCTACGTTAGCACTTATGTGTCGAGCAAGATATGTTGAAACACCATCAGTTCTCACTTGGCTTCACGAGGGCAGAGCTCTCAATTCTGACACTACTAGAGGTGGAATTAGGTAATATTTATTTGGTAGTAATAACTATAACATCTGTTTAAGATATTAAAACATTAAAAATGTAATTGAGAGATAAATCTTAATAACAAATCATTTAAGTCGTATGGCGTTATACTTCATTCATACAAGAGTCCAATCAAAGAATTCACTGTATATTTTCATTTCTGCTGGAGTACTTTGATATACAGCTTTAGCTTTTTGTATACGGACCAAAATAAATTAGAGCATAAATAAATGATTGGCTTTATATAACTTGACACCTTAACGAATTAACAAATGTTGTACCTGGAGTGTTCCCAGAGCTTAAATTAGGCAATTATTTATTTAAATTGAATTTTCATGGCAAAGGTTGAAGTTGAAGGAAGTATAATTATAGCGATATATAACTTAGTTTTTTTAGAAATAATATACAATTCATTATTTATATTTAAATAGAGATATATTTAAAGCACCAAAAATGTATTCGTTTATGTATTTCTCTATCTAAAAAGTTATTTGACTGGTTTTTATTAAAATTATAGCGTATTCAAATAAAAATATGCCTTAAAATACCATTGACTAATTTCACTAGCACCTGGACATCCTCATATGTCACCCAAGAAGAATAAGATGAACAGAATTTTAAAGAACCCAAAAAAAAAACTAACAAAAGGAATTTGTTTCACAGTGTTAAAACAGAACAAGTACCGGGCGGGGCAGATAGCGTGCTGCGTCTAGCGCGCGTCAATAGCAGTGACGCTGGCAACTACACGTGCGCTGTGAGAGGAGCTCGACCTCACACAGTAGCTGTGCATGTACTTAACGGTAATATCTATAATAACTTCAAAAAAAATTACAAAAACAATCACACAAAAAAATAAAAGCAACCAATTAGAAAGATTAATGAAATTCCGTTCAAAACAAATAACAATAGAATGGGCGTAATGACAAGCAAATACTGCCTACAAATTCAGATTCAATCGAACTGATGAACAGAATGGAATCAAATTAATTAAGAACTTGTCTAATATATTATCAAAGTTGTTTCAATCTAGTAGAACTTCCATGATTGAATTAAAGCGTTTCATATGTGTGAACGTGATAGCATAGTGTTAACGCTTACATAACTTGGCTTAATTGTATTAAAATTTACATTGAAACCTTAATAATGTTACAATGAGTATGTATTCTTGTCGTTTTAAAATACATTTAAATTAAAAATATATTTTAGGACACTTGTAGTTGCTGTAAAGTAATCGAAATGTAAGGAAAATGTAGAAAATAGTGGTTATATCCGAAAACAGTGTCATTTTAAATGTGTACTGTTGAAATTCTTGTATATCATCCCTACTTCCCTACTAATATTATAAATGCGAAAGTAACTCTGTCTGTCTGTCTGTCTGTCTGTCTGTCTGCTACGCTTTCACGCCTAAACCACTGAACTGATTTTAATGAAATTCGGTACAGAGATAGAGTTGACCTTGAGAAAGAACATAGGATAGTTTTTATCCCAGACTTTTGAAAGGTTCTCTTGGAAACGCGATATAACCGAACTCCACGCGGCGAAGCTGCGGGCGGAAAGCTAGTTATAAAATAAACATTAAAATTTATTTTAATTTGGGTTATAAAAGGACACAAATTGAAATGTTATTGATAGCAATGAGCGTTTGATAATCGTTAGTTAGACATGAAAAAATTTATATAAAATTTAGATGTTGAATATTCATATTGTATACAAAAATTTTATTTCCTCTGTCTTTGTTCAGGGTTACGCTATGCCATGTGACGGAAGTGGCTATTATTCTCTTAACAACTTATATACTTATCTACTGGGCTGCTTAAATGTCCTTAAACTTTTAAAACCTACAATAATATTTTATATGCCAATGAAAGAATGTTTAATAAAAAAAAAGAAAACTCTTTCATGGTTTCATCTCTAACTTTTTCTCAAATCCTTCTAATATAAGGCTCAGTAACGAATTGCCAACCACATTTGTTGCTATAAAGACTTAATGGAAGCTTTGCTCGAATACCAGAAAGAAATTCCACAGCGCAATTATTATATACATGCGTATATGGAATGTCAAAGTAAATTGCTATTGCGATAAGGGCGTAACAAAGTGTCCATTTTGTGTGCCATAACTTTTAAATTTGAAAATGGTAGCAAAAAGTATGCTAAGTTAAATAAAAAGAACATTTTTTTAATTAAATTCTGAGGGTGACAGCGCACACTGGCCCGTCATATGCAAAAATAACCATACATTTGTAAAAAAGGTATTTATTCGTAACGTAAAACACTTTTGTGAAATTAAAATGTAATGTTACAGTTTTTTCTTTGAGACGTGAAATGAGAAAAACACGGAAATAGTTTATTTAGCTGGTAATGAAAACAAACTTTTATGTTTGAAATGAGTTGTATAGTATATTTTACAACAACATGTTTTTAGAGCTATATATCAAATTTATTTAATTTCCTTTTATATTATCAAGAAATGACTCTACTAAAAAACTTTATGATCATCATATAATACAGCATAAAACGATTTCCTATTGCAGACCTCTTAATTATTGAATTATTTAAATAAAACTAATATTTTCTGATAAACACATCGTTTACACGGGCTGAAATGGATGAAAACGTCGTGATCATGGTTACTGCAATAGGAATCGAAACGTCTTTAGTAAGAAGTTATTTAAAAAAAACTCTTAGTATATCCGAAAAAATAGTTTTATTCAAATGAATATGTACTCATGAAAGTCTTAGACATTATTATGTATTTCCATTTTACATAAATAATGAAAATCATAAGTAACACTTTTTATAGGAAAGATTTAGTTATTGTAACCCGATTTTCGATCTCATAAATTCTTTTGCAATTATTTCATAAATAAAAACTTAATCATCAAATTAGAGAGCTACACAACTTCTTGATACTGAAAGATTTCAGAATGTTATATTTATGCTAAGTAAGAAAAGTGAGACTAAATATTATTTACCATTAAAATATTGATATATACTAACTTCTTTTTTCTTAGGATAAATTCTTAGGAAAGTATAAAATTAATGCGAAAATCTACCACAGCTAGTTTCACAACATGCCGTAAAATTCAATTATCTAAATAAAAATATTATTAAAACTTCAAACGTACAAAAATTTACAAGCATCATGTACTTTTACTATTTAATTACTATTTGTTTTAGTTGCAATTCTAAATAAATATATACTTATTTTTATGTCTAAATGAAGCTCGTTTTAAGATTGAATATTTTAAAAAAGAAATACTGTTCCTGGCAGCACGAGGTTATGAGGAAAGCTATCCGTATGTTGGTACGTAGATACACAAAAGCACTGGTATTTTAACTACTAGCCATTGTAAAGTACTTTGATGGATTTCAGGATGGCTAGCTGGATAGTTTAAACACTCGGGACTTTTTGTGAAAATACTATTATAGGTTCAAAGTTGCCATAGAAACAATTGAGACTATAACAGCTTTTATGCTCATATTTTAGAACAAGTAAAGACTTTCCAAATATTTTACGCCTTAACATTCAATTAAACAATTGCAAAAAAATTTTTGACGAGGAATTAGGGTCAGCTAAATTACTTAGCCAAAATTTTTCTTATTCAAACTCTTGTGCTCTAATCTCTCTATGAACTTATTTTTTTTAATACATGTTATTATTATGTGTTTTGCTTACAATTTAATATGAGTTATTAAAAAATACGTTACGTTAAATAATACACCGTTAGCATTATAGCGTCATAAAGTTTCATGTGGATCGTTTACCTTTTGAAAGGTGTCCTCGTAATAATTCAGTTATATTCATAAAGAAAATATCCCCATTTTATTAGAACATTAAATAATAAAAAGGGTATAAATATAAAATCTGTAAATAATTAGATTTGTAATGGCGTATATAATTAAGGAATTCATTAAACTTTCTGTAATACTGTTACGAATGAGCAAGTAATTTGGACGTATTTCTAGCGGAAGATTTTTAATTTAAAGCTTTTATAGTTGCTTCAGTTCACCACAAGAGGCTTATTTTGTATAAAAGGTTAATCGTCGCTTTTCATTTAATTTACCGTTATAGCTTCACAGAAGTCGAGAGATTGAGGGCTCGATTGAAGAGGGTTATATTGAAGCTCGTGTACATTTAACTAAATATTCTGTAAATACGCTGCCATATAATTTAATTATAATAAACACATTCTGGTTAATTGGAGTTAGAGTGATTTACTGTTATAAAACGTATTGATTTTTCACATTTCATGTGACTAATACCTTACCATTTGTTCCAGAAGAAAGCCTAGCTGAACTGCATGCCGGAGTGACATCACTTAACCCGTCACTGCAAACTGTTACGTTATCCATTTTAACGTTAATAATTATGCAATCTACGTTTATGTCTATTCAGATCTCTTTCACAATAATAGCATATAGATTTAGAGCCTATGGCAATACTATTGAATATTATCCTGTTATTCTGTTACCAACGTGATAAGATGTAAAATATAAATTATTTTAAAGATATACATATATATAGTTACTCGAAAATAAAGTTTCATTATATAATTTCTTTGTTTTTTTTTTCAACCTTACCAGTAATTTTATATACATAAAATATATTTTTATTACACAGAAACGGGATAATTGAATGTAGGACGGTCAAATCAATAAAACTACTTATGGTGATATAAGTAACAATTACAAGAAAAGTACTTTAAGATAAGAAAAAACATAATAGCTGGGTATAAGCCTATTATATATTATTATTATATTTCAAAATTTACATTTTCATGCTATACATACATAGTTATTTCCATCATCTTTATAAACTGTTTAAAGTGAAAATAACTCTTAAGTAACAATAAAATTTCAAAGTACTCACGGAGCGTATTAAAATATATTTTCCATAAGCTTTTCGTATACGTTCAGATGAAAACAAGTGTTCGCTTAGTTTGAGAATATGAAAGTATGTGTTGAGTGCACCTCACTGGTCTCATAAAAAAGTTTACACCTTTACGTAATGACGTACAGTGCTATTGTACACTTAACAATATTGTAGATTTTACAACTTCCTGTAAAATAATCCAACATAATGCTGAAAATAAATCCTTGTTAATAAAACTTTTTTTATTCCTTAATTTTGAGAATCGATACTTGATGAGTGTGACGCCTAAAAATTAAGATTTTTCGATGTTAGTTGTCAGTCTCTAAATAAATTTGGGAAGTATGTTTATGAATATTGGGTTAAAATGTATTGGAAAACCTTTGAAAATGATTATTTAGAGTTTTTGATTGTTGTTTGCTATATCAAGAATATAATACAAGATTTTTTTCTCATCGTGATCGTAGGAGTTTTTTTCTTTGAACTTAATATTTTTGATCTCTAGGGTTAAAGAGATTTTAAAATAAACCAGAGGAAATTTTATACAACCTATAGCAAATGTACTTCGAAAGAAGAAATAACAGAATTTTAAAAATGAAGGCTGTATAATGTTCACTCAACGTGACTTTATCTAGATTTGAAAAAAAACATATTTTGGATTATGTCCAACGGTGTGCCTGATGGACAAATTAATAAAAAGACTAAAATTAAATAGTTCGATACTACGTTATTTATCAACCATTAATTTTAAGCTGTAAGAAAATTAAATTATAAGTTAAAAGTATATTTTATTATTACGGAACATAAATGAATATGTAAATGTTCAATTTTATTTCATAAGAATTCAGTTGAATTAGATTAAAAACAATTTCTATTTTATTCTTCATATATTTTAAGCGTCATCGCTTTACACGTATAAAAGGCATTAAGGCAACTCGACAAAACAGTTTCTTTTGTATTGTTTGAACCTTTTAGAAAACATATAATTTAGTAAAGTTTGAAGTTAATAACGGTTCAAGTTCTACAACTATAACATAAAGCGTTTCTTTGTTTTTAAGTTGTTAGTTACTCAGTTATATTTTATTTACAACTATAACTTTATTTCTCCACCAAGGATACTATTTCACAAGAGAAAAATATTATAAAGGGAAAAACGCAACTGAATTAATTCACAATAATGTTTATAAAACATAAAGAGATTTTACTTATTGTTACTAGTGATATATGGACATTAGTAATAATGATTAACAAAGAAAAGAAAGGTCTATAGTTTCACGATACAAAAATTTGGTACGTAAAAGAAAAACATTCTGAAAATACTCACTCTTAAGGCCAATGAAATCTAGGAGTTAGACTATGTATAAGTAGAAATTACAATAGGTTCACTCATGTATATTTCATGTATATTGCATAGCTATGTGCAAAATTGTTATTTACTGAAGCACAATACGTCTTTTGTATAAGAACTATAAACAATTTAGTTTAATGCATAGTAAACATTAATATCATGTATTGGTTGGATGTTGGCATATCGTTGAATTCTGATGAGAATAGCTCTGTGTTTGTCTGATGTAATTAATATTGATTTAGCTTTATGAGATGTCAGTTATATATTTATTTCAATATACAAGAGACTTATATGATGTTTATTGTTTGTATCCTTTAATAACTTCATCTTTTGATATTCAGCAATACTTAATGATATCAAATACATTACATACATTTACAAAATTTAGCAAATGTTAAGAATTTATTTCTTAGTGTAAATCTTATATAATACATATCATGTATTTTCGAACCACTTCAAAATAGGGCGAGGTTATCAATTTGTCTGTACTTTTTTTGTTTGGTACTTCATAACGTATGACTGGACGAAGCAATTTTCAACATTTTTTTTTTCAAAGATGATCCTCTGCGTTTGGTTCCATTTCTGTATATTTGGTCTGATTATAACAATGAGAACAACATGAGAATCCATATAATCTAGCAACCATGAGAATACCATATAAGTCTAAAATTAGCATAAGTATGTGTGCGACAACTGAATAAGTAACTTCAACACTAATCGATTTAGATTTATTTATTTACAAGGGTGGAGTTCTCAGATGGTCTCATAATGACTACAACCAGACCTGATTATGAAATCCGGAGTAAATGAAGGAAAATTCTTATAATATACGAGTATAGGCATACAAAATACACATTAAGTCAATTTACAAATAAACATTTATTTTTCTAAAAATCAAGAATATCAGATAATATAAGCAAAATTTACTGTTGAAATGTTTATAATAATACGAAGTAGTTGAAGAAAAAAATTGTTAACATTGAGTATTATTTAATTAATAAAAAGTCTTAGATATAATTATTAAATAAAATGAATAACACAATGAATTGCATAACACTTCATTGTAGTATAAATTTTTCATGAGTATGTTAAGCTAACACAAATACCTCACTGATCCTTGATTCAAAGACGGAACAATGGCGTGAAAATTTAATACTCCCAGCTTACTATACAGTTGTTGAAGTAACCGCATGGATCGGATACGAATAGGTTAATCTAACGTTCAGACTAAAAGGATCAACAATCAAGCCGTTTCATTTTCTTTCACAATGCCTTTTCTTAAATAATAATTACTTTATATTTCTCCTCTAGTTATTTTTTAATATATAGACATGTCCAAAATTATTATGACGATGAAACCACTTATTGTGATTAAAACCTGAGACGTGCGTCGATTCATAAACTTTCACCGAGAGGTCAAACGTTTTGGGAATACGTAATACATCCCAAAACTATCATGAAATTTTAAAGGTTTCTAATATTTTAAAATATGAAACATACAGATTTATGCTTGTTATAAACAACGCTTTTATTGTGCCCAACTCGGTCATGGTAAGTGCAGTTTTCTTGAACGACTCCCAAATCGGTTATTATATAGACCGCTCCAAAATAAATAAAATGAAACCTAAGTTTACAGTTTCATTTCTATTGTGCAGGCTGTAGCGATATTATTTTCTTAATACGATTATTCTGCTTGTAACATAGTACGAAACAAAAAAGTAAATTAAAATATTTTTAATGATTTGTAACTCAATTGCAAATGGTCACGGCTAGGGTAAACTTTTATCACTCAACTCACATTATTTCGTCTTACTTTTATGCAATTCTCTTTGGGATAGAAAACAACATCAATCACTTATAGAAATTTTGTGAATTTCCAAAAAATTATATTAACAAAAAATAAAAATATAAGGTAAATAAATTACTATGAAATCCTTAGGATTTCGTTTACTAAATTGAGGATCATGATTGCGAAATAAACAAATGAATAAAAGTTAATCAAGGGAACAAGAGCAAGAGAGTCTAGGTAATCCACATTTAAAAATTAAGACTGAGTAGGGAAACTGCTCTTGCCAAAGTAAAATAGACCAAAAGTTATCTATAATAAGGTTTTGTTAGCTAGATTGCGAGTGAGCTAGAAACTGTTGTATTATTTAGCCACAGCTAGTTTCTGATTACTAAGAAGTCGTTGTGCATGGAACGTGTGAATACAAAAAAAATATTTGTGGCGCTAGAAAACATGTTTCAAGTATTTAAAAAAACACAGTTATAAAGAATACAATTTAGTGTTTAGAAAATTACAACGTCACTATTCGTCATGTAGATCATTTTCAAGGAATCTTAACAGAAATAACAACCATAAACTATGGAAGAGACTACTTTCATTGTACTTATTATTTTGACTTCTGAATGAATAAACCTATGTGAATATGTGAGAAATTAACTACCAACAATAATAAAAGATGGTCCTGGTTACTTAAAATTATATAAATTTTTAGTTTCCTGTCCTATCAAAAATAAAGTCATTTGAATAGATAATAACGATAAAACTTTGAAAAGCTTTTTCTATTAAAACTTTTGTTACAACAATAATAATAATTAGTGATTTTTTTCTTGGAAGAAATAATGAGTGTATTTTGACTTTGTATCAATAATTTTCTTTAATGTAAAGAATGATCAGACCATTTTTAAGAAGATTATTTAAAACGGGTTTTCATGTCTTTGATATTCACGACTATAATTTATAATTATTTTACAATGTAAGGTAAGTAAATAATTAAATTGATAAAACTTACTTAATTCTTAAGCAATATGGACCATATACATCGAGTTATATCATGCCTAGAACAGTGGATGGTTAAAAATTTAATTATTTATGACAACTACCGTACAATTTTTGGTATCGTGTGTTTCATGTTGTGAATCATATGCTATCACTTCTCTGTGGGGATTGCCTCGAAATAGAGCTATCTTACTAAGATAAATTCATAGCTCTGTATAGCCTCCTACACTTGAAGCCAAAATATTTAAGATAGCGAGTTACATATACAGCTTATATACTTAAGTTTACATCTTAAAATGGAATACCGCGTTGTTATTAATGGTGTATAAAATTATATGTAGAAACCCCAAAAACATCTATACAATAGGTTCGTGATTAGTTTTAGTGGGAAATAACTACTTAAGTTACTATTTTAAATTAAATTATAACATTAGAAACTAAGACAAGTTTTAAAAAGTTTCGTGTTCAAATTTGTATGGG